CCCCGCCGGCTCTGCCCGCCCCGCCCCGCCCCGCCCAGGAGGCCCACCGTGGGGGCCCCGTCGATCTCGTCGATGACCAGGCAGTTGGGCTTCCCGCCGGCACCCAGCACGGACTCCATCTGCGTGGCCGCCTCGATGCGGGTGCGGAAAGCCTCGGGGCTGCGGTCGTCGCTGCAGCGCGGGCAGGGCGGGGTCAGGCTGGGCGCCAGGGTGCCCCGGCCAGCCACTGACCGCAGGCTGCCTCCCCGGCCGACCCCTGGCTCACCTGGCGTTCATCTCCACCACGCAGTAGCCCGCGTGCCGGGCGATCACGTGCGCCAGGGTGGTCTTGCCCAGCCCCGGGGGCCCGCACAGCAGCGCCACCTGCAGTCCAGGCCGTGACACGGCGCGGGCCGCGCTCAGGGGGAGGAGCCCCGCCTCGGGCCCCACCCCACTTGTGAAGGAGACCCCGACATCCCCTGGGCTCGAAGCCGATGGCCGGCACGTGGGCCCCGACCAGGTCCGGCGCAAAGCAGCGGCTCACCTTCTGCCGGGGCCGCCCGCTCCCGTCCAGCTCGGCCTCCAGCATCTCCTCCAGCACCTGCTCTCGGCTCTTCCACTTGCCGGCGGCCGGAGCCTCCTTGGCGGCCCGAGCCGGCTCCAGGCTGGGCCGGGGCCTCCGAGCGGGCCGCTCTCGGCCGAACACCACGGGGTCCCACAGCTTCAGCCACTTGAGGAGGCAGCGGTTGGTGAACTGCGGGGCACAGCTGCGGGCTGGCACCAGGGTCCCAGGCGGGCCGCCGCCCAGACGCCCCTTAGCCGGCAGCGGGGGTCCGCCCTGCCCCCCCCCAGCTCCGCCCGCCTCACATCATCGCTCAGCAGCTCCCGGTAGCAGCGGGGGGCGAATTCATCCACCCACAGCCAGTGCCGGGGGGCGTCCTGGCTGCCAGCGGGCTCCAGCTCCTGCACCTCCTCCTCGGGGCTGCCCCTGGAGAGCCACAGGCCTGAGCCCCACCCGCGGGGGGGCGCGGGGTGGGGGGGGCAGAGGGCGCTCACCTGCCCTGCCCGTCCTCCAGCTCCTCCAGCCGCCGCTGCAGCCGCTGCACAGACACCAGGGCCGGTCAGGCGGCCCAGGGGCGCGGGGCCCCAAAAGCACCGCCCAGACCCCAGCACGCCCACCTCACTGTCCACCTGCTCCTTCAGGGAAGCAAAGGACACACCCAGCAGGTCCAACTGGCCACGGCCACGCCACTGGACGGCAGGGAGGGGGCTCTGGAGGAGAACAGTGATTACGCCACGGGGACACCCAGGCCCCGCGGCCCCGCACCCCGCCCTTCTCCAGGCAGCCACCTGCACCCCCGTGCCCAGCGGGTCGGCCCGCAGCAGCAGGAAGACCCTGACGCCTCCCGTGGAAGTCACGTGCACGTAATCGTCCAGCACCGGCGGCCTCTTCAGCACGGGGTTGCGGGCGGCCTGCGAGGCGCTCAGGAGGCCGCGGCCAGCACCAGCGCGCAGGGCCCTAGGAAGGGATGGGGCAGGCTCGGCTCCCGCCCTCGCCCTCTGGGTGGACAGCGCTGGGCGGGTCCACCCGGACACTGGCCTCCACCCGGCCCGTCCAGCCCCAGGGCCCCAGTGTCCCCAGCACACACCCCTCGTCCCACAGCTCCGCGGGGACCTCGGGACTCGGCGGGGGGGTGATGTCCGGGGACAGCGCGTGGGGAGAGGGCGGCTCCTCCAGGGCGCCGGGCCCGAAGCGCAGCTCCCTGGCGACCTCCAACCTGGACCGCTTAACCCTGGGGGCTGTGGACACAGGAGGCGCGATGGCCCCGCGCCCCGCCGCGCCGCCCCGCACCCCGCGCCCCCCGGGCCCCTTTCTGCGC